CTGCATTTTTCCCGTTAAACTGCAAAACTTGTGCATTTCACTCGTTATTATAAAAAAGTTTTCCTAAGTATGATATAGCATTTGCGATCAACAAGATGTTGGTTCTGAATACGACCCTGGCCAATTCTTGGGATTTTCAATATCACGTGCATATCAATGTTTACATCCACTCTGTCTTGAATTTGAATTTGCTTTAGAGATACGACTTGCAGCCTGTATGGCACGCAGAAAGCTTCGCTTGCTATATTTTCCTCAATTCAGCATTGCGTCCCCTTTCATTCGAAGTGCCAAATATAACGATCCGACTATTATTAACAAGAATGTAACTCAGTGCCTTTTTGGCATGCAGCCTTCTCAATTTTCTCTTTTCCCGATTCAGCATTCCCTTGGTTTCTTTTGATGTATTACACCTCACAATTCGATCATTATTAATGAAGATATAACTCATGGCTAACAATTCAACAAGTAAGACCCCGTCAATCCTTAGTTCGCACAAGTTTGGACTTCTGGAGGGTTGTCAAGTTGGTTCACGGAAAACATATTTCAATGAATTATTCAACAGTGCCTTTTTGGCATGCAGCTCGCTTTTTTCCATCCAGCTTCCTTCCCTTTTCGTTTGTCGTGCCACACTTCACAATCAAACTATCAATACCCGAAATACTAGTTAGACTCGAATATTTCATTTCAGGTTTATACAGATAAGGACAATAAATATCGGAACATACGAATTGCAAAGCATTCTGGACAGGGTCCGCGATAGCAGTCGACCAGTTTGAAATTAGAGATTTGCTTGCAACGAAATATCCACATATTATCCCTTCTTACACAGGATACTTCAAATACCACCGATTGCAGATATCAACAGCGTTGTCTGGTATTGGATGCAATGCTTTGGGTTTTTGGTGTCACCTGGTTATAAAATGATTTTTTTTATAAAATATCAATGACATGAGTTTGTGAAGTATAATTGCAAGTTGTTTCGACAAAACTGGTAAATTGATACATCAAGTTAATTTTTTTATGAGAAATTATTCTGCATTGTCACATTACTACATGTCCATTTAAATGAGTTCAGTGAAAATCTCGCAATAACTCGAACTCGAATATTTCATTTCAGGTTTATACAGATAAGGACAATAAATATCGGAACATACGAATTGCAAGGCATTCTGGACAGGGTCCGCGATAGCAGTCGACCAGTTTGAAATTAGAGATTTCCTTGCAACGAAATATCCACATATTATCCCTTACAAAGGATACTTCAAATACCACCGATAGCAGATAGCAACAGCGTTGTCTGGTATTGGATGCAATGCTTTGGGTTTTTGGTATCACCTGGTTATAAAATGATTTTTTTTATAAAATATCAATGACATGAGTCAATAGTGTAAACTAACAATAAAAATACAAGTCCCAGTAGGCACCCCTGAAATACATAATTTATATTGAACAAAAATCATGTTTCGTGAAAGAATCAGAGTTTCTATTGACTAATTACAAATTGTGGAAGGTGAATAGTTTCAGAGAAGGTCAATAAAAACATCATTTATCCTTCTCGTTTGTATTCTTACTTCGTTTTGAATTGTTTTGTATTTATAGAATTTGGCTTACCTACGGCCTTCTGCAGAGAATCTTCACCACCTTCAATCAATGTGAATCCTTTGATGTTCACGGAACTTACTGCTTTCTTGCATTCTCTTTGAACGCCAGTATATGGGTAGGCAGATTCGGACGCTAAACCATTTTCTTGCACGTAATTGAAGGCATCTCCCATCAGTCCTCCCTTGCAACCATTGTTTTCTCTTGAACAATCTACTAGTTGTTGTTCACTCAGGGCTAATCTTTTATTGTGTCTGATGATGTTCTGACCTTCAATGCTTCCTGTCTGAAAATTGAATGGTTGGTGATAGAGAAATCTGATAGACTGGGTGAAGTGTTTCTTCACTTATTCCTCCACTTACTTCTATTACTCACTATTACTCATAATAATTGAAACAAGAAGTTTGGAGTTACAAGGTATAATTAAAGAAAACAAAATCTGGGTTGGTAGGCCGTTGTCGAATGGAACTTGCAGTACCAAACGTTTCATCTGCTAGTGCAGCAGATTTCAATGGTAGTATGTGATTAACTGACTCAGTGAGTCGTTGCTAACGAAGGTTGTATCTTGAAGTATCAGCAACGACTGACTCAATCACCTGAGAGTTCGAGATATAACGTTGTGACAGCATATCCTCTTATATTTTCACCACAATTTCAAATAGCAGATTTGTGAGTCTGATGTAAAACAAAATCAAAAAAGTGATCTAGAGTATGTGATCGTGAAAATAGGTGAGTTACTTCGTTTACTTTTAAACTCAGGCGATTTATTCGTTATTTGCATTTTTCCATCTCACGATGAATATAATTATTTTGCTACTTGGAAGCCATCTGACTCCAATTCTTTAACATTGCAGCCTCATGGGCTAATTGTATATTTTTTTCCCATCTTTCCAAGACACTTATTCCTGATCAGTTTGTATAGGTTCTTTGTTGGTTGTTTGTCATATTCTGGACATAATGTGTATTGTCCATAAATTATGTAACTTCTGTGGCCAGTGCTTCACATTCGCATAAAATTTGACATGCTATATCGAACTCTTTGTTGCTCTGCTTGCAACACCCTTTTTTATTGAGGTGTCCAATAAATAGATAACATCTTGTGAAAAGTCCGGTATTTATCGATCAATGCTCAGTTCTTTCTTCTTTCAGAGGGCCCCACTATTGAACTTGCTTTCTTAAAAACCGAGAAAGAGTTACCTATTATTGATGTAGATGTGGGGTAATATGCTTCAGGTGATCATAATAATTGAACAGATACCGTAGGTAGAGGTTTAGGTAATTTTTTGGAGGTAGTCTCAATTATGGTTACCTGTAGTATATAAATATTAGTTTAAGAAGCAACATGAAGTATTCCAATCACTTGATAAAGCTACTGTGTTAGTGAAACATGTTGTGATATATATTTTTCAAATAAAGTTTGTGGAGATCAAATCGTGAGGTGTAGTTTATGAAACCAGACAATGTTATTTCAATCTGCCATAAATCTCATCACTGTGGATTTTTACTGAAAGCGAGACTTTTACTCAGGATTCTCATTCTATGGATAGAAGAGTTCAACATTGCACAAGACTGGAATATAAAAACAACACTGATATTGAATCATATACAATCATATATAATTAATAATATACCAGTTTCAGATACGGTAAATATTAATGCTAATGTATAATGTGTCATATGTTTTATATTTGAATAGCAGCTTTATAAAGGAGTTGCTCTAATATAATTCAATAATAAATGGATTACCAGAAAGAAGTTCATTGTGAATTGTGCGAGGAACTACCTTTGCTTAGACAATTCATAATAATTACTAGTTGCGATCTGAAGCTGTGGATAGTTTGCTCATAAAGTTTTTGTCGACAGATCCAGATTGAACTTTTTCAGATAAATCGTTTGAACTTAGAAAACTCACTGTACTAAATGCCCAGCAGCTTTGGCAATGTCCTTGATCCTTCACTTCCAAAACTGCTCCTTTTTGAACCCAGTTCATGAATTCTGGTACAGTAAGATTGTCATCTATCTCTTTAGTGGAACGAATTGCTTGAAAATTGGGTTTGTTCGCGAGGTTTCTATTGAGCATCTTTGCAAATTCTTCGGTTGTTAAATCTGAGAATTGGTTGACTCGTAAAAAGTAAGAAACCTCTCTTTTTTTGTATTTTTCATTATGTGATTTGATTTCTCGAAGTTTTTCTTGGAATATGTTGAAACGGAACTTTTCCTCTCTCAAGCTCTTGTAGGTTTTACTATAATTACCCTAAAATTATTGAAAATATGATATTTTGACAGAAAAAAATGGAATTGACTATTTCATAGGCATTTATCTAGAGATATTCATTTACCACTTCACAAATCTTTGTAACCATCAATCTAAACAATCTAGCCATAGTGAGACAATTGGCAATACTCATCAACCGTGAATTGGGGATTCTGCATTGTCAAAGTCACATTCGTAGAAAAAATAAGACATGATTTGATGCCTGAATCGTTCTCGCTAATTAATGGGGCTGAGAAATGATCATTTCTTCACTGCTGTTTGGGTCGGATCTTTCCTACTCTAATGAGAAGTAATAACTCGAAATCGGTCTGTAGGTGATCTACTTGACTGGTTTCAGCATGATTTTGCTGCTGGAGAAACATATGCAAGACTAACCTCTATGAGGTATCTTGCTTACATGTCTATATTAGCCGGGGAAGTAATTGTTTGTCAGCAGGCATTTACCAGAACCTACTGGGAAGGTACATTGGGGGAGATGAATATTTCGAGATTCCATTTCATATTTATTTTCTTATATGTAATAGTAAAATCTATGCACCAAGCGACTCCTTCCATTGTCATTGTGACGTAATAGTGGTGTGATGGAGAACCAGAACTAGATGACCTTGATTACAAGGCGACTCTGAGTGTCTGTTTGGATTCAGATGGTGAGTTCACAGGCAACAGAAAACTTTGATTTTCAAATGAAAACCATAAAAATATAAAGAGGGTATAATGACATAACATGCTGATGTCGGTAATCGTTTCGAACATTTCATCTATAGATCACAAAAATTATAATATTGAGAGCCAAAATAGAGCCAAAACATGAGCAAAACCGCCTATGCGGAGAAAATTAATAAAAACATTTGAAACTGGAAAGTGTTGGGTTGTAAACAACTATATAATGTAGACTCCATAGCACGAAATTAGTTAAAATCACAATTGGAGATATGCACCGAATATGAGCGATCTTGTTAGCATGACATCATTATAAAAATGAAACCAGCATACTGCGTTCTAATACTCATTTATTCGTATCGTGAAAGTCTAGAAAAATTCTCTGATATTACCTAATATAATATATGTTTCCTGCCTTCAAAAGTTGAATGTTTTGTCGAATTCAAGAATTCAAAAGTTCTGCCTTCAACTGATACGTGGATTGAGACGGAGATACTTTAAAAAAGCATTATTGTTGTGACCTTAAAGCAGTATTTCTCAAAGTATGCGCCGCGGCGCCCTGAGGCGCCGTGGACCTTTACTGGGGCGCCGTGGGCCACGGGTGATTCTCAACGTTTCACAACATAGATAACTGAGAGTGAAGGTAATACGTCGGTACCTATTAATAAAAATCCTCTGACACTCTGATAATATCGGTATTTGCAAAATGCAATCCGTTCAGACAGCTACCTGCCTACTTTTATTAATTAAATATCTAGTGTAGTCTTTACGTTCGGGGCGCCGCGATAACCTTCAAAAAACATAGGGGAGCCGTGAATTCGAAAAGTTTGAGAAACACTGCTCTAACCTGATATATCCTATTACCTTTATCGAAAACATGGGTTACAGTTTATACTTGTTTTTAATAGATGCCAGAGAACTATTTTTATTGATATCTTCATGATGCGTTTCGAGCGGCCACCTCCAGGGAAGAGTGTCCGCTGAAGAGTTATAATGAGTTTCCCCCTCGTATAAAAGCCTTGATACGAGAGAGAAATCGCTTGAGAAGGCTCTATCAGCGTACCCTTTTCCCAGGAGACAAAATTGCGGCAAGCTGGATGGCCAACCAAGTCAAGCAGGCCATCATTGATCACCGAAACGAAAGGTGAGAAGAGCTTTTGGAATCCTTCGAACCTGGGGATGACGAGCTTTGGCGAGTTACCCGCATTCTCAAGGGGAAGAAGACTGCTCTCTCACCCATTCACGGAGATCGCGGAGTGTGCTACTCCCCCGCCGACAAAGCGTTAGCCTTTGCCGATACGATGGAACGTCAGTTTCAGCTTAACGTTAACGATGATGACGACATCGACCGCGATATGCTGTTGGAAGACCGGGTTCACACAATTTGGCTTCAGGAGAGAACACTCCACTGAGTTACAGGGTCTAAGGCTGGTCGAAAACACCTTCCAAGAAAGGAATAACAACAAAAAAGTGCACATTGTACTGTTAGATATCTCGAAGGCCTTCGACCGTGTATGGCACGAAGGCCTTCTGCACAAATTGATCGTGTTCGACCTGTCTCGGGACCTGATCTGGTGGATTGTGTCTTTCCTGAAAGACAGAACATTTCAGCTTAGAGAGTAGAGGGTTCTCTATCTGACAACAGAGAGATCCTCTCCGACGTTGTATTCTCTTTACACCAGCGACCTCCCGAGGCCCGAGCCCGAGTGAAGATATTCCTATACGCCGATGACACGGGTCTCCTCTCGTTTTCCATGGGTCGAGAGCTCGACATCGTCTACATGCAACGTGCATTGGACGACCTCGAGCGCTGGTACCTCGATTGGAAGATCCCAGTGTACCCGAAGAAGACTCAGGCGATAACCATGGGAAGATTGCTATCTTCTTCGGCCAGAAAAGTGAGAATCTCTGGAAGGGAGATTGACTGGCAAGCGCGGGTAAAGTACCTCGGCCTTCTAATAGACCGTAGGCTCACTTGGAACCCGCACATCATGTACGTTAAGTCAAAGATCGAGGGTCGGATAGCAAGTCCGTACCCTCTGATCAATAGAAAATCTAAAATAAGTTTGAAGAACAAGATTACCATTACAATACGATGTTCAAGCCTGTCATCATGTATGCTTCAGGCGTCTGGGGACAAGCGGCGAAATATAATATCTCCATTCTGGAGGTATTGCAAATTAAGCTAATGAGGATGATTGTGAATGCTCCTTGGTTCGTGCGAAATGAAGCCATCCGCAGAGGTTTGCAGCTGCCTTCCATTCGGCAGTCCATTCAGTAGAGGAATCGGCGAGTTTTTGATAGCGCGGAAACTATACATTCTGCTGTAGACGACCCCTCCCGCTATAGAATGAGGCCCTCATGTTCCCCGTTGAAGATTAAACAGATCTTTCATACATCCCACCCCAGCCAGGTAGGGGTACCCCCTGAAGGGCGGCACTGATGTCTGAGGACTTCATGCCGTCAACATCCCCTCAGTCATGAACCCATTTGTCCTTCTTCGATAAAAATCAGTAAAAAGGGTAAGGGAGCTGGGCTTCAACCTGAACAAACTCAAGACGACGTTCAGGTTGATATCTTCTTAACGCAAATGAATTACGCACCATCAAACTAGAACGGAACGGATTGGAATTTTTCGAAGTATTCCAGACATTCATTTCTTTCTCATCTCTAATAAAAAAAATGAAAACTGGTATAGATACCCATTGCAGAGGTGTAATTTGATTCACAGCCAGTAATACAACAACGGCGAGGCATATTCGTTTACAATTGTACTTTCAAAATTAAAAAAAAAGAATACATACCAAATGATTCACCAACCTACACTTGCAAGTATTACCGTTTTTGAAAAACTTCTCGGAAACACTTTCACTCAAATATTTGGTTGGACAATACATTTGAATATCTCAAGCAAAAGCAAAGGTATGAAATTACAGAAAATTTATTTAATTCTCATTGATATTAACCTGACTTTCAAAACATAGGATTTCGAACAGTGCTGCCGTTTTTCCCTCACCCCCGCTAGTTATCGAAGTCGGCTGTGATATTACAACAAAAAAACTGCTATTGGGTGAGGAATTGATAGTCTTGAAATCAAAAACAAACATGGCAATAATCACGGACCCTTCTACTAGAAAATTTTCTGCCAATTTGTACCCACGAAATCGTTAATCTGTGTCTAGAGTGAAAATGTTACCACTCAGATTTGAAAAGGCAAGGTTGAGAGTTAGAAATTAGCCCGTCATTTCATCAGAAAGTAGAAAGTGAAACAGTAGAAGTGATTGGCAATCTGTTCGTGCTCCGGCTTATATACCTTTTTCTTTCGTTTATATCCATGCAAAATTCCCGTTGTTGAAGTGTCCCGTTGCTCATTTGCAAATCTCCCAATACACCAAAGGTGAGCTCGTAATTTCACTTAGTTATTGGGCAAATTAGTTATTTCCGAGATAACATCATCCAAAACCATACCAAACTAG